TAATATATATATATATATATAATTTTTTTGTTTTAAATATAAAATTAATATATATAACAAAAAATATAAGCATTATCATTCAACTTAATAAATGTAATTAACTTATTCTATTTTTGCATGTATATGTATTAAAATCAATTTTTATTTTTTAGTTTTAGCAGCTTTATTTGGAGCAGTGCCATTTTTAGGAGCATATTGGGCCTGTTTACCTGCAGTTCTTGAATTATGGCTTGTACAAGGAAGAGTTGCAATAGCTGGTTTAATGCTGACATTTCAATTACTTCCCACATCATTTGTTGATAGTGCTATTTATAGTGAAATTAAAGGGTATGTTTATAAAAATAATTATATAATGAAAATCCTGAAATAATAGAGCTGAAATATATATTAAATGCTCTTAAAAATTAGATTTTTAATTATTATTACAATTAAAATTTTACAGCAATTTAATACATAAGTTGCAAATGTTCATTTGTTACAATAATACTGTCAATTTGTTAATTTTTCATCTATAATGTTTGTTTTGTTTGTTTTTTAATTTCCTGTTTATAAATCCATATTAAGATATAATTTTCAAGAAGGAAATCACATCTTTACTAAGTACTGTACTTTCATTAAAAGCACATTAATATTGAAAGCATTAAGTTATTCCCAATAATAAGAATAGAAATGATGTATGTATTTAAAATTCACTGATTATTTGAATACTGCATAGCTAGATCAATAACTATGAGATTATTAATTGATAAATGTAGTCCTAGGAATGGATCACTATTCTCACTATTTTTAAATTAGTCATTTCTCAACTATTTTGGCAATATAATTCAGTTTCTCATTTTTTCTGCAATATAATTAGTTTCTCACTTTCACTTATAGGCAATGATATTTTTGTGATGCCAAACTGTCACATGCTACTTTGTTAATTAAATGTTTAATGAAATACTTAAATTGCAACGCCCATATCGTCTTTCTCTTGTTGCATGTTAAAACTTTGTTATTACATGACTTGAGGTCTTAAAAATGTTAGTTATGCAATGTAAATTTGAGAGTGCAGTCTAACATTGACAAATTTTTCTTTTTGAAGTATAATTTAATAACAGGATTACAGGATTTATTGATGAATAATAAATAAAAACAGTGTTTTAATTTCTCAGCTTATGATATAACATGAGAAAATATTGGTACCATGTAAGATGCAGAGATTTGCAAAAAATGCAGAGGATCAAGTTTGATCCTCTGCATTTTTTGCAAATCTCTGCATTTTGAGACCTCATAAATCCAAAAATGGCAAAAAAAAGTGTGTTGGTGTCTATTTCGTTTAATATCTCAGGATGGGGTAATGATTAAGAAACAAAATTTAGTGTGGTAGCTTGTGTATAAAGGGCATTGATACTATTAAATTTTGGTGGTTTTAGATCAAGGAGTGGGAAGATAGAAAGGGATCACATTTTGTAACTCAAGTAGAGTTGGACTTAATGAAGATTTTACTCATTATTGGCATTTATAATTTTATATAAAATTCATCTCTACCCTCAAAATTAAACTATTTTGCAGTTTTGTAATTATTAATAATAATAAAGTTGGGGTTATTATAAAAACCTTTCCAAGTACATGATAATGTATGTATCTGCATTCTGTATATTAATGCACTCTCTCCTTGAGGCTGTTTTAAATGTCTCTAACATCTCTAAAAATTGTTTTTTCTCTACTAAAACACTTTAATCAATGCTGCTTGCTTCAATTCAGCTTCAATTCCTGGTTCTGAGGCATAGATGGACTGTTTGTCTCTCTCTCTCAATATCATATCTGTGTTATTTAATCCTGCTTTTGAGAGATCTATTTGTTACTCCTACATAAATTAAAACCTGGTCAAATCTGTTATCTTTTAATGGTATGCTATAAATTCCAGGAGCTCTGGTCCTATCTGTAATATCTTTATCATTTTGCAGGTTTGGTTTTAGTATTTGGTGCTGCCCCTCTTGTATGCCAGTTCCATTCTTCCATTATGTATAATTTCTTCATATATTGGTTTCAGCCTCTTGTCATATTCCATCACTATGTTTCTAGACTCAGCTGGGTATGTTTTGGGCACTGGGGTGGTATCTTGTCATATATATTTTTCTGCTAAACGTTCTATAAGTTTTATCGAGTACCCATGTGCTATTACTATTCTTCTTATGTGCTTAAGCTCTATGATCATATGTATCAATATTGGTGCAATAGGTAAACGTCGTCCTAATGAACAATCTAAATGCAGCTATTTTATATCTAAATGGATCATTTGAGTGAGCTGGAATGAATAAATGAATGTATTCAGGTTTATAATACACATTGGTGATACACATGCCCCCTTCCTTAAATTCAATTCTAATATCCAAAAAAATGGATGGATATGTTATGCTGTTCCAATTTCAGAGTAAGATTATACAGATTCATGTTAATTCTGTTTAAAAAAGGTTTATATCTGGGTTTTTTTGCCAAATAATGAGAATATCATCTGTGTGTCTATTATATAATGCTATGTTTTGGGTGAATTCTGGCATTATTCTGTTTTCTAAATTACACATGACCAAGTCACATAGGTCCCCTGAAAGGGGTCTACCTATCAGTACATCCCATTGGTGTATGTACAGTACAGTACATCCCATTGGTGTATGTACAGTACAGTACATCCCATTGGTGTATGTACAGTACAGTACATCCCATTGTTGTATGTACAGTACATACTGTTGTTGAATTTAAAAAACAATGTATAACATAAAATTTTGTGCTATTTTTAAAATACAGGTATACCTCGCCTTACGTTGGTAATTGGTTCCAGGAGAATGGCTTAAGTTGAAAAATGACGTAAGTCAAATTTACTTGTCTCCAAATCTACTTGTCACTAGGCTAAACCATAAATTGCCAATTCCGGTTCTGTATTTTATTTATTAATGCATTTTTAATAATGTATGGTTAATAAGGATCGCATTTTTAATAATGTATGGTTAATAAGGATCTATTTTAAGCTTACAAACAAATAAATTTTAGTTTTTAATATAGTACAGAAAAAAAGTAATCTAAATTTATGAATGCATGTACTGTAAGTACAGTACATACTTGTAAATGTATATATTTTAATATGATTTTGTGTGCTTTAAACATTTTTCTAGTGATATTACGACTTCAATATTTGTGGCGGACAGACGTAAAGTCGAATAAAATGACTTAAATTTGATTTTTATTTTTCCATATACTTTTTTGACAAACGACATAACTCGAAACGATGTAAGTCAAGGTATACCTGTATCTTTATGATGCAGCCTGCCCAATCCTACTTCATTTAATAAAAAAATCTCTTAATACACAAAAACATGGTTCTATATATATATATATGGAGGGAGCCCTAATCTGGCCGTTTGGTTCAGTATCAGTTTTAACATTTTTGTGGGTTCTTGTGTACGGACTTGAACCATTCTTGGTTCTTCTGTTACCTTTGGGCCCACATTATTCTGTGTGGATTAGGTGGGCTGTTTTTACTGTGATCGGTGTTTTGGTTGTGTTTATAGTGTACTATTGTGCCATTTTCTATCTCCTTGTCCACTCTGGTGATGGATCTACCAGAAAAAGACTTACTTGAAGTCATCTCACAAGGACTACTTACAATAACGGAAGCCATTCCAGCAATCTCTCATGGATCTGTCTTGATACATAATAGGAAAAATGCTCGCCAGGCTGCTATGAACATGCACACCGCTGCGAACAGCTTGTTTGGTATGGTGCTGGCCCTGAGGGCCCAGGAGAAACTGACTGATAACTCCTACGCTGAGGTGGCTCGGCAGGATATCATTAGTGGTAGCCAGGCTACAAAAATCATCAACGAAACTATTAATAAAGAAGGAAAGACCAACAAACAGTAGGAGCTTATAATAGAACCAGTTGAGGCAGCCAATGGAGAACGAATGTGCCCCAAAGAGGTCTTAAATGCCATTCAGGAAAATTTGGACACCTCTACTCTAAATATAGGAGTTAGAGGCATATCCTCTTTGGCAAATGGCAGTGTTAAAATCAAAGTTAGCATCGAAAAAGATTACAAAAGCCTAAAAGATGCAATAGAAACATTACCGGTCAATGAAAAGGTGAGGATCCTCAAACAGAAAAGGAGGAACCCCAAATTGATTCTGTTAAATCTACCCAAAGAAGAAGACTGACGAGAACTGCTATGTAAGTTGTACAAACAGAATGAAGAGATAAGCACCAAATTCACTGAAGAAGCTTTCTGTCATGAAATGGAGGTATCCCAAGCCATGAATTCTAAGACAAAAGATGATTGTAGACACGTCGTCATCACAGTAACACCAGCAGTCAGAAATCTTCTAATAAATATGAAACGAGTATGCTATGAATGGTGAACCTTGGTTGTGGATGATTTCTTACTGGTACTAAGGTGTTTCTGCTGCACAAGATTCAGCCATATGGCGTGAAATTGTGATACGAAAGAGAGGTGCAGTCACTGCACCAAAAAACACAAATATAAAGAGTGTGAACACAGAAAAGAGCCGAAGTGCATAAACTGCACAAAGGTAAATAAAAAAACAACAGGAAGAGAAGAAATATTGAACTGATCACAACACATTCTCAGCTACCTGTCCACCTGTCCCATATTAAAGGGTTACAAGAAACTCCCATGAGACAAACGACTTACGAATAATCTATGACTGCTATGAATAACTTGCTGCTAAACTCCTGAATCATGGCTAATACAAACCTAAAGTTCCTTCAAATAAATACCCAGAAGAGCCAGGCTGCCTCTTCCATGGTCGTTAAAATGGCCAACGACTTAGATGTTGATGTGATTTCTTATTCAAGAACCATATACCATCCAGGACTGCATTGTCAGGTTTGGACCCTGGCAAATCCTTAATAAATGTTATGTCAATCAAAGACCTAAGTGTGGGATTGTAATAAGGAACAATAATATGGATGTGTCAATGCTGCAGGAATTGAGCTCAAACAGACTGACAACAGTGGCAATCAACCAAGGCCCCATTGATTATCTAGTCGGCGTATATTTCTTCCCCTATGACACTGACAAGGAGTGTATAGAGGAACTTGGTACATGAACATGCTAAGGGACTATAAATATATTGTTGCAGGGGACTAATGGCAAATCCCCTGTCTGGTTCCACGAGGATGAAGACAATAGAGGCAGGCTCCTCATGGATCTAATGCACGAGCATGATTGTAGCTCTCTTAACACATCTGACATACCAACTTTCTTCACAACAAGGGCCAGGGGCTGGACAGACGTATGTCTGGCACCTATGACTGTTGGCAGCATCATTGAG